GTATCACCTTTCCCGAGGTTGGGCCCTGGCTGTGGGATCACCTGCTCACTCCCCTCCTCAGATGAGCTCACCCGCCTACAGCCTCAGCCCCTGTGAGGGTGATGTAACTCCTCTCCCCCGGCATCCATATGTACCTAGGGCCCTGGGCCCTGGCTGGTGGCTGGGGCAGCAGCGACACTGAGAGCTTTCCCAGAGGATGCGTAGCAGGTCAGGGAGTGTATGAAGGTGGCCCTGGTTCCTACCCTATCTTCTCCTGGTTAGACAGGGAGGCAGCTCCCTCTGGCTACAGTGGCCCTGCTGTTCCTTGGGGTCACAGATGACTCCCTCGCAGATGCCCCTGCTTTTGGTGGCCTTGTTCCCTCCTCTCCCTGCAGAGGCTTTACCCAGTGAAGCAGTGTGACCATGAACCCTGGAAGATGGGGGCCTGTGCCTGTGAAATGGCCAGTAGCCATTGGTTGGCCCCCTGTCATCAGGGATGAAGCTGAAACATCTGTAGCTTTTGTGGAAAACCATCACCCTCCATGAGGTCGAGGGCTGTGGGCTGTAACCCTCACCCATAGACAGTCTACCTAGTCCTCCCTCAAGGCCCACCCTCCAAAGCTTCCTGAGTCTGTTGGTCACTCCAGAAAGGAGTCTCTCTGGGATCAGGGTGCTCAGGGACACTGGTGGTATTAAAGGTGCTGATTCTTTGCTGCTTGGAAAACTGAGGAGCCCAATATGAGAGATGGACAGATACTGCAGGGGAAGTCCCCACAGAGGTGCAGGTCCCTGGAGACTTGAGTGGGACTGTTCTGTGGGAAGAGGAGTGTTGCTGACTCAGAACTCGGGCATGTCCGCTGCTCAGTGCTCAGACCTGCCAGGTGAAGCTAATCTCGGCTGTCCTTCCTCAGTGGTGGGTGGGTTTTGATGGCTTCAGCCAATCTCTTTGGAGTCTAGGTGGGGACAGAGGGGGAGGTGCTTCAGAGTCAGTGCATCTAAATGAATCAGAGTCTAAATGTAAAATCTCTAAACATGTAGCAACCTGCATAAACTCGCAAATAATTTATCTAACGTGTATGTAGGATGGACTTTGAAATGAGGGGGAAGATTGATAAAAACCAAGATTACTGTTTTATTTTTTTGTTTCTTTGTTTTTAAAGAATTCGATTAATGATGAATGGTTTGCCCATGGAGAAAGATCTTTTGGAAATTTTCAAATGAATTTTTTCCCCCTGGGCAAACTTAACCAGAAAGGAAAGTGTTTTCCACGCACATTCACCAGTCCCTACTTTCTTTCCTCCTGTTTTACCCTGTACTTACCATGCCTCAGGCAAGTCTGGATTATCTTCAACCAACTGGTCAATTCATAAGTATTTATTTGTTAAAAAACTCACTATGTATCTAGCTCTGTAAATAGAAAAAGAGCAAAATCCCTCTATGAGAATATGTAAAGGTGGAAATTGCTTACTGGAAATATATTGATCTGATTTTTTTTTTTTAAACAAAACCCTTATTCCTTGGCCAATTAAATGTTTCCTGCAATCACTTGTGGCTGGTCATTGCTGAAGAGCTGTTGCCCCCTGCAGGCCACACATGGCATTACAGAAATGCTGGCTTCTACTCTGCAGGCTGAAGCACTCCCTACTGCGCACCTCCTGGGTGTGGCGCTTAACAATTAACTGAAAAATCTGTTCCTCCCCGGAGGTCCTGGATGTCCCCACGTAACAAGGGCTATCAGCTGGATTTTCTTTCGATTTGAGCACGGACCAAAGGGACAGAGCACACTTTGCCAGTGAGAATAGACTCACGGGTTTTAAACCTAATTTCATGGCATTCTAGTTTCAGTATCCCCATCAAAAACTGACAGTTTTACCTGCTCTGATGAGGAGAGGTTTGTGTTTTCATTTCGTAATCGTGTAAGGGAGAGCAAGAAATGGTATTGACTGGTTGCTCCCATTTGGTTTATTTCCTGACGCAGTAGATGATCTGTCATCATGCCGGGACGGTCTTGGTTTGTGCTGTTTCTCAGAAAATTATGAATGGCTCCCTGTTTGCTATCCTAAGTGTCCCAGTTTGGATGATAGTTCCTTGGTCATCGGCTTTCCCCCAGTGATGTGTTAATGGATGGTGCATGCGATCTGTAAAACACTGGGTTCTGCCCCTGGGAAGGACATACTGGCTGTACTTTCTGGCAGATGTAATTCTGGCCCCAGCCCATCCTATCCCACCCAGCTCCACACGACCTGGGCAGCCTGTAGGTGTTCAGAGACATCCATGTGACATTTGGAGCCCTTAATAAAAGATGACGGTGGCCCTGGCCATGTGACTCAGTTGGAGTGTTGTCCTGTAATCAAAAGGTTGCGGGTTCAATCTCCAGTCAGGGTGAGTTTCTCTCCCACATTGATGTCTCTCTCCCTCTCTCTCTCTCTCTCTCCCTCCCTCCCCCCTCCCTCTCTCTCCCCCCCTTCCTCTCTCTCTCTGGGGGGGAAAAGAAAGAAAGAAAGAAAAAGATGACATTGGAACAGAAACTTGTTTGAGCCTCAGGGTATGTCAGATTTGGTCTAACTAGAAAGTAGGAGTGTTTCTCTTCAGAATGTATAAATCTTTCGCATTTTACTAAACCCGCCAGATGAGGGATCTGCTCTGGAACCCTCCAGTAAAGGCCAGCAGCCCCTGGGGAACCTTATGCTTCTGTGATGAGCCAGGATGAAGCTGCTCAGACCCCTAGGCCACTGCAAGGGCTCCTGAAGGGCTCCCCAAAGTGAGAAACCCTGCAGCTTTGATAGGGCCGGGGTTTGGGCAGCAGCTGACTTATCTCAAACCACCCCTGGAGACTGAGGGTGGAGGAATGTACTTTGCAAGGCTTTGGGAGAGGATACAGTGTTGTTCTTGACACTTGGAAACAGAGATCCACTCCCAGATATCCAAAGCAACTGGGAGAAACTGGTTGTTCAAACTTCCTAGCAGGTGTGGATGGGTTCCTGGCTCTTTGCACATCCCATTTCCCCTTCCCATCCTTAGACTTGGACTTCTGCTCATGGCTACCAACTCCTGTAACCCAGAAATGAGCTCCCTTCTCCATTCTGCTGGGTTAGAGGTGTTCAGGGAGAGTTCAGGAAGCACTTTAAGCCCAGGAATCCTAAGGGTTGTGGGTCAATAAATTAAATCCCCTTGTGAATTCTGCCTACAACTGTCACTAAATGTTTCAGTATGGTCTGTGTCCCTCTGGCTTTACCTCTGGGCGAGACTGGGGGATCAGGCAGGGAAGTTGGAGGGAGACAGGGCTGCTCAAAGACTCAACCTCAGGGCCTCCGGGAGATATCCAGGCAGTTGCAGAGCCACCTGGCAGTGCTTTGGGGCTCATGTGCTCTTTGCACTCTCCCTTGCTTCCCCTGGAGGATATGACACCTGTCTCAGGGCTGAGGCTCAACTGCCCTCTTATCCCATGGCTCATGGGCCTCATAGAAGTGGAATTGTCAGCATTTGTCTTTTCTGTAACTAGCTTATTTCACTTAACACAATGTCCTCGAGGTTCATCCATGTTGTAGCATGTGTTGGAAGTTTCTTCCTTTTAAAAAATTTTTTTTTAATTGGTTTTTAGAGAGAGAGGAAGGGAGAGGGAGAGAGAAAGAGAAACATCAATGTGAGAGAGAAACAGCGATCGGCTCCCTCCTGCAAGCCCCCTACTGGGATCAAGCCTGAAACCCCAGGCATGTGCCCTGAACAGGAATCAAACCTGAAACCTTTCTGTGCATGGGACATGCCAACCAACCGAGCCACACCCGCCAGGTGCAATTCCTTTCCCTTTTAAGGCTAAATAATACCCTGTCACTTTTCAAAAGAAAAATGTATTGGAATCTTATTTTTCTGACAAACTCTTGGCCAGTGGTGCGTGGGCTGTCTTAAAGTATAAGAATCACAACTGAGGGCAAGTGGGGTCCGGTGCTTCCCCCTTTCCAGGTGGTTCCTACAGGCGAGTATTAAGGAATGCTTCGGCGTTACTTCTCCCTTCTTCCCAGCAGAGGGCAGCATGCCCTGAGCTGGGCCAGCAAATTCCCGTTGGAAAGTG